TTGGTGCAAAGTGAGTGGGTTTTAGATTAAATCGTGGTCTTTTGTTTCTTTGTGGTTGTTGCTGTTGTTGTCGTTCTTTGTATTTCTTATTATGGGAACAAGAACTTGAAAAACAACATTAAATCGAGCTTTGGAATGTTTGTGAAAAAAATACATACATACGTACTATATATAATAATAATTACTTTAACAAACCATAACAGCAACAAACAACAACAATAAGAACAAACCCAAAATAACCACAAGAATCTGTATACATATAGTAAATAAGAAAATATCGGTGATACAGTGATGTCAACTTAACTAAAAAAGGAAGATATTAAATATCATTGAGATAAAACTTTGAGAAACCTTTGAGGATAGGAACAGGCTCTTTAGTTTTCAAATATTTTAATATTTGTTTTAGGGATTTTGAATAATATAAAATATTGAGATAATGCCTGTCAAGATCGCAGTGTAAGCAAAATAAAGAGAAAGAGAATAAATTAAAACAAAACTGAAATGTCATGTAAAATGTAATTAAAATTCTAACAACAACTTGTAGTTGTTATTGTTGTTCTATTTGTATTGAAAACAAAACCACATAAATAGAATTGAACTATTGATTATTTCAATTGAAAACAACAACAACAAAAATACCTATAAATTCTTACGAGTTTAGTTTGAAAAGTTACTTTTCATAGCATTTATTTGAAAAGTATTTAAAAAATTTCGATGTTAAGTTGAAATTAATCAAGCTTAACGCTTATACTCGTTATATTTTGTATTATACACAACTGATTTGATTTTTTTCGAAATGGTCAATTTCGGAACATATTCTGTGAAAGGGTGTCGACATGGAGTCGACATTCATTTTTAAAGCTTCCTTATCAAAATGTATTTGAAATGTACTAGATTTCTTCTTTGTTAACGAAAGTCATCAGCTCAGAAAGAAAAGTTATTATCATTTTTACACGATCATGTCTGCGATCATTTGGCCCCTGGGTTCAAAATTCAACTTGTAAGCAGATCTTGACCTATTAAGTATATGTTTGATCTATTATAGGTGAGAATGTTTGAATATTTTCTGTTCGAAATTTTTCGATTGCCTTCGTTAATTGAAAATAATTCAATATTTTATTTGCATTTGTGAGAATCTGAAAAAATAGATCAACAAATATGTAGTTCTATAAACATTTTCAGTTTGTTATTGTAAATAAACTGCACATTCTTGGAATAAAATTATAACAATTTAAATAAATTTATTTATATGTTGAAATTCATTTATTATTTAAAGTTAAATATCAGTATGATTAATATATATGCACACCAGATTAAAGCAAATAAAACAGGGAACTAGAGAGGGAATACGTACAATCAGTGTCTGGACCATAACAATATGATAATAATAAAATGATGACTAAATAATTGTTATTTATTTAAATAAATAATTAAAATGCATTACACAAATGCGAGAGAAATCAATGGTAAAGAAATTCCTCTTAGAAATTAAATAACATTTAGATAAATTTGCTAATCATTAAATAATCATTAAGTTTTTATGTTTAAAATTCTTGTAAAATTTTATATTGTTGTTTTATCTACAAAAAGAAACTAAAATTTTTCTTTCTAATAATCATCCCCATTTTAAGTGTGATAGGTTATTAAAAACTCATTCATTTACTCTCTTATCTCAGAGTTACTTGTCATTTTGGCAAATACTCTTTGTAAAATGTCAAACTACATGTTTGTATTTAGTATATAGTATATGTAGTAGTAGACATACTATAATAGTGGTTTTTATTGTTAATTTACAAAAAAAAAATATGTACTTTAGCATTAAAAAACAATCAACTAAAATAATTGTATGTATTCATCATACATTCATAACAAATTACTCTCTTTACTCCTGTTACTACTCACTTGTAATATGCTTATTTTACTCTCCTCTCTGACCCTCTCGGAAAAATTTTCTTAATGGCAGATGTTTGTTTTTTTAGTTGTTTGTAAAGTGTGTAAAAAATGTGTTTTTTTAAAAGGAAAATAATGCCAGATCTTTAGATTGGTGAAAAAAAATGGGAAATTTGGGAATTGCAAAAGAATCAATACAGAAGTAGTTCGTTAACTGGTTCTTGGGGGTAGATAAAGGTTGTAGTTATATTAATTTTTTTTTACAAAAGTGTTTAATTACTTTAAGTTTTCCTGATCCAGGAGGTACATATGATAATGTTTAGAGTATCTAAAACTTTTTGCTTAATGACGTCAGTTTTTAATTTTTGTTTTTTAAATTATTGTTTAATTAGTTTTTTTTGCACTATCTTATCTTATGCAATACCTGTTGCTTTTTTAAAATTACTAACAGTTTTTGCTAATTTTTTTTTTTTACCTTGAAATTTTTATTTGAAGTGGGTGTTTTTTTCAATATTATAAAATTCTTTGTAAATATTATTATTCAATTGGAATTTTAATTAGAAATTTCCTAATTTAGACATTAACTAAGTGAGAATGATTTAAACACTTTAAATTAAATTTAAAGTATTTCAAAGAGAACTGATGATAAATAGTACTTAATTTTAATAATAAAAGTACTTTTTTGTAAATTAATAGTACAAAGTGATTAGAAAACGAAATAAAGTTAGGTTAGGTGAGCAGATTGTTGGTTTCATCATATTGATCTCTTTGTGATATTTTAAAGTATCGGCTTATTAGTACTATTCTATGTAATTAGTCTGATTCCCCTCCAAACTATTTTGTTTCAAGTTTATCTTTCAATGATCTCTTCGGATAAAACCGTAAAGTCGTACAGCAAATGGCTGCCTAGTGTACCTAAAAACCTATGTTCTACTAGGACCAGATATTGACAGAATAAGAGGGTAACAGACATCGTTTTTATCAAAGTTTCTAAGCTTCTACACAAGTTGTTTCTCTGAAGATTCCATCCTCTGTTAGGAAGCCCAAAAGCCCAGTGTTTCGAAGCTTAGCTCTCGGAATATATAAGAAGGATTACGATCGTAGTGTATATCGATCACATGATCTTCGCCATTGTACTGGTCTTCTCAGCAGTCCACTAGATTGCAACTGAATCCATCATATTGATGGACTGTAAATAGAAAGTGTTAGAGCATTAGTACACCTCGTTATAATTACTTCGGTTCCTATTTAAACTTTTTTGTTGCAAGTTTTTCTCTCGGATGATCACCTTAAGTTGTACAGCAAATGGTTATCTAGCTATGCTCCGCTAAGGTCGGTCATTGACAGACGACGTGGGTATTATTCTCATTGTTATGACAGCTTCTGTGGAAGTCATTCTCGGAAGATTCAAGACTTGTGGCCAGTAACCACTGTAATTGTGTTTCGTAGCTGAGCTCTCGGAATATACGTAAATATATGAAGGCTTGCGATCGTAGTTCATTGTATAAGAGCCACATGATCTTCGTCATTATACAGTTCGTCACATGTAACGCAAACTATTATCCTCGTCTGACCACCTATATTGAGTCATCATATTGATCCCTTTGTGATACTGCAAATAGAAAGGGTCAGAGCTTTAGTATAACTCGATTTACTTACTGCGGTTCTCCAAACTTTTTTTTCTTTCGTATAATTAGCCCACGAGGTCTTTGGACAGTGAACTCGGCAATTGCGTTTTGTAGCTGAGTTCTCGAAAGATATATCGACTACATAATCTTCGCTAGTCTTGTCTGGACATCTAGATTGGACATGATCGTGGAGTTTATCACGTATTGAGCGTAGCTGTAGAAAGACTAAAGACAAAGCTATCCGTCTCTTGCTAGTGAAGTACTAGTCTTCGCAAGATAATTCGCAATGGTGTGCCTTACAGTCCTGCTGTAGTATATTTGTTAATAGATGTCCTGAATTCAAGCACATTTGATGTTTTATAACTACCAAAGATAGTCTTTACGACAGCTTTACTGTCAGTATATATCCGCATATCAAAGACGTATACTCGGTGGAATCTAAGCCAATTGGCAGCCCGTTTTATGTGTGATAGTTCTGCCTGCAGAACGCAATATAGAAGCTATCACTCACTCCATCCATCTTTTGTTTTAGAGCCATTAGTGTAAGTTTTATACGATCCATCACTGAGGATAAAATCTATCTCATATGGGTAGTAATGGATCAATACGGAGATATTTTTATCTAAGAAAAGGTGCTATAGTCAATACTGTCCAGAGTTGAGATCGCAGAGTTGAGAGCAACTTTTTGACACATTAGATCAATGGATAGCCAATTTATCATGACAAGAAGAGTCATATATGAAGTAGTACAACTTTTCGAATTAGATCTTTAATTACATACATATGTAAACTTAATGATGTTTTGCTCTCTAATTTGAATAGATATCGTTGTACCTTAAGATTATTGAGTCTTAAAGAACTTTTGTTCTTGGGGAAGTGTTTTATTCCTATTAAAAAGTCATTATAGTAGTAAACAACTTATTTTTCTATAATCTGGCTACCTTAAATTAATGTCTCTGGTCTAGAATCTATAAGCTACTAGGGGATGGAAATGGAAAAAAATTCAACAAATATATAACTACATAGATATGCATCTAATTTATGCACTCTCTACGTTTCTCTATATTTCGTTTATCATTTCTCTCTCTTTCTCCCAGCGTTATTTTAGTTAACTCTCGTTGTATATATATACACGATTTTCTAAAGACTTCCCTTAATTGTAGACAATTTTTTCCCATTGAAACTCATTCGTTAAATAGAATCTCTCGGTGAACGACGTATTTATAGTAAAAGTATTAAAGTAAACTAAGACGGGTTTTAATACTATTAAATTTTTGTATAAAATCAAACAAAGAAATTCTCTAACAAAATGTTAATATTATAATAATATTAAAGAAAATAATAACATATAATAACAATTAATAAAAATTGTTTAAATAAAGGTAAAGAAAATTTATCAACAAAAAATGTTATAAATGAAAAGATAACATACAATTTTTAACAACATTTAAGGGTGTTTCAATATCAAAAAATGGCCAGTATCTAACTACGAGTGCTCATGTTGGTCTCATAAAGTAAAAAAAAAGAAAAATTTATTTTTATTTGAAAAATTTTACAAAAAAAAAGACCTCCTCAGGGTTTAAAAAATATTTAAAATTATAAAATTTTAAAATCTTTAAAATGCGTTAAATTTTGAATAAAATTTTTTTTGGTTAAAATTTTATTTAATAATTTTATTAAAATTAATTTTTCTAAAAAAAAACGTAGTAAAAAATCTAATTCTAAAACGTAGCTAAAAACGAAAAAAATTACACATACGCAGCAGTCTGTTTTTTAAATTTAAAAAAAATCAATATTTTATTTGATTTCTAAAGTGTGAGAGAAGTGCGTTGGTATACCCATTTTATAATATCCTTAACATTATTAGAAAAATGGTGTTTTTCTACCCAAACTCTTATGAAAACAACAATATTGTGCTCTCTGTATTTTAAAAAGAGAGCAAAGAAAGTTTGCTGTGATAAAGCAAAATTTTGTGAAAACTTTCAAAAGCAAATATGTTAAATAAAAGCTGTGTGCAAAATTATTAAAAAAAATAATTAAAATTTCCGTTTGTAAAATTGTTTATTATTAAATAATGTATTTTTCAAGTAAATTCTTGGAAACTTTTTTTAAAACCATCGATAAGATAAATATGAAATCAATAATATTTGCTCTACAAGTGTTTATACGAAAGCAATTAATATTTCTTGATAACATTTCACAGTGATTGGCAAAATGTTTCAATATTATTTAGAGTATTCCAGAAATGAAGAATATGTGAAACAGATCGGTTTACTTTAACGGGTTCCTAAGTGTTTCATTATAATTTGGAATATTTTAGAAGCGTGATAAATGTCAAATACAACGTTTGAATGTAGACATCGTTATATTTCTTTTGATAACATTTCACAGTGATTTACTAAACACTTCAATATAATTTTAAATATTTCACAAGCGGGGAGTAATAAAAAATCTAATTTAAAGTTTCCTACATAAGTTATATAGATTCAAAATACTAATTTTATATCTGGATAACATTTCACAGTGATTTACTAAATGTTTTGGAATAAATTAGAATTTTACAGAAGCGAGTAGAATGGTCGAAACATATCGGTTGAATATCTAAATTTTATTTTGGTAAATTCAAATATAGACCGGCGGACATTGTCAAATCAATCAATATTTCTTGATAACATTTCACAGTGATCTGCTAAATTTTCCAATATAATTTCAAATATTCCAGCAGTTAGAAGAATGTCAAACATATCATAGTTTACTATAGATGTCTGTAAAATGTTTGACAGATTCAAAAATGATAATTTCATTTCTAGATAACATTTCTCAGTGATTAGCTAAATGTTTCAAAACAATTCTAGCAGCAAGTAGAACTTCAAAACAGATCCTTTGAGCCTAGAGGTTATTAAGTTTTATTAGTAGATTAAAAAACTTAATATTTCATTAGACTGTCGGATATTTGTCAAATCATTCAATATTTCATGATAACATTTCATAGTGATTTACTAAATGGTTCAATACAAATACGAATATTCAAGCAGCGAGAAGTATCAGTTTACTATAGAAGTCTTTGAAATAAATGTTAAAATTCTTAATTTCTGGATAACATTTTACAGTGATTTGCTTAACGATTCCTGCATAATTTGGAATATTAAACTGCAACTCGGGTTATTAAAATTCTGCCGGCACGGGTTGGAAGTAGTTCAAAATAATTATTTTTGGTAAAGTTTTACAGTAATTTGCTTAATGTTTCAATACAGTTTAAAATATGTTTTCGTTAAATCGCTACTGTAGCCTATTGATGTCTAGAATGTTCGAAGTTGACATGTCAGATTATACTTGTTATTAAAAGACGGCGGTGAAAAATTTAAACCTGCCGGCTAACAGCTGTGTAGTTTGAAAGTATTGTAGATTCGGTCAGACGTACACATACAAGAGTTTGGGATAGCCAGATCATCCTTTCATCACAAGCCCGCTCATTGCGGGTTATAAGGGAGAACGCCTGATAGCTGTTCCAAAAAGACGCTGCCAGACGGGGGGAAGTTAATTCTTAGTTTCGAGCTCAATACTGACTTGTCAGGAACAGTTAGCCCAAGTTTTTACCTCCAGTATAGCTGTACATACGACTGTGGCTAAATATCTCTCATAATTTATCGTCCGGGCTTTCAAATCTAACAAATTAACTTAGAATATTATCTAGCGGATCAAATAAAATCTATTAACTACTTTTTAGCTGGGGTCAAAGGTCATATTGTCTCTCAATTTGTATGAAATACTTTTTAAATATTATTGCTCATTTCTGTAGAACTTTTCCAGATTGTTTTTAAACGGAAATTGTCTATTAAACTTATTGTAGTTATAATTTTCCAAAAATAGAATGACTCTTTTAACGTAATTGTTTTCTGAGTAAATAGAAAAATCTTATCTTTTAGATAATGTTTTGAGTGCATTTTTATTCACAAATATTTCTGGGAAATATGATAATGCATATTTAAAAAAAAAACTATTTCAACATAAAGTCGAGTTACTTTTTAAACGATATTCTGAAAGTGAAATAGATAAAATAATTTATATAATTAAAAAAAGATTATTACAAATATATTGTAAACTAGATAATGATTCGAAACATCTACGATATTCTTTTTCATATATTTACTTAATCTAAATTAATCAAGATAAGAATGCTAAAAGATCATTAACCTTAGTATTGTTATGGCCACATAAATTATCTATAATTACACCTGCTTACATTGTGATAAGAATATTTTATCTTATCTCTACTATCCTGTATCCTTATACTTACAAGTATTTTTCTTTCTTTTCTATCATTACAGTTCAAATACCAAACAGTTGTAATAACGTTTCGTGAAAACCATACGCAAGAAGTTAATAATAACGAACAAAATGGCCGGAGAACTATTAGCACGACCAATAAGACCGCTTGAAAGCGGTTATTGGTTTCCTGCCAATCCAAATGATTTCTACAAGTCCATACAACTTAAAGCGGAACAATATCTATTACGTGACGAAACCGATAATAATACCCACAGTGAACAATTGCAAGCGGTGTGTAAACCACGTTATGCCATGAGCGAAATATTCCATAGGGAAGATGAACGTCTTAAAACGTTCAATACTTGGCCAGTGGAGTGGTTGGATAAGAAGGAATTGGCCATGTCGGGCATGTTCTACATGGGCGAGGGTGATAAGACAAAGTGTTATTTTTGTGAAGTGGAAATTGGTCGCTGGGAACCTGAGGATCAACCTGTACCTGAACATCTGCGCTGGTCGCCAAATTGTCCTCTTTTGAGGAGACGTACTACCAACAATGTACCCATTAATTGTGAGGCCTTGGAACGACTATTGCCGCCACCCAGCTATGATATCTGCGGCCTAAATGATCAGATTGAAATAAGACGTAATGCATTTCCCGAGGGCACCATACCTGCGGCCGATATACCGCCTGCCTCACCTGCCACAGCCAGTAGTAGCGGTAGTAGTGCCAGCATCCCTAATTCTGGTACATTTTATCCCGAGTATCCAGAATATGCCATTGAAACGGCTCGCTTGCGTACATTTGCCGAGTGGCCGCGCAACATGAAACAGAAACCTGCTCAGTTAGCCGAGGCGGGTTTCTTTTATACCGGTGTGGGTGACCGTGTCAAGTGTTTCAGCTGTGGTGGTGGTCTTAAAGACTGGGATGAGAATGATGAGCCCTGGGAACAACATGCTCTCTGGATGGGCAAATGTCGTTATGTAAAATTAATCAAGGGTGATACTTACATAGAAACTGTTGTAAATAGATTTAAAAAATCCAATGCCAACACCAACACTGAAGAGGGGGAGCAGGCACAACAAACTACTGCCAATACCAACTCGCTTACCATAGCCACTGTTCTAAACGCAAGCAGTATAACGGGCCCAAAAGAAACGGAACAGCAATTGTCAGCGGGCGCCACACAACAAACATTAGCTGCCGCTGGCTGCCCAGCACCAGAACAAAATCGCAAATCTTCTTCCACTATACCCGAGGAGAAATTGTGCAAAATTTGTTATGCCAACGAATACAATACGGCGTTTTTACCTTGTGGTCATGTGGTGGCCTGTGCCAAGTGCGCTTCATCCGTTACCAAGTGTCCACTGTGTCGAAAAGCCTTTGCCGATGTGATGCGTGTATATTTTTCGTAAATTATTATAAACTCTATATAGTTATTTATACTTTTAATAATTACAGCAAACATAAAAATAACACAAAAACAACAACAACTCCTACAGTTATTTGCCCTTTAAAATTAACCAACTTTCCATTCCCTTATAGTTTTACAAATGTATATAATTCTCTAACAACAACCACAATAATAATAATAATCCCCCGCCTTGGTCTAAACTATCTATATCCTTTAACAAAACGGGTTTAACGGCCAGTTAGGATTTGTGTTAAATGAGTCTTAACTGGCCGTTAAATTTTGTACAAAAACATTACATTACATTGTGTTAAGTTAATCAGTTTTAAATCTTAAATTAAGCATTTAATAAGATTTTAAAACATTAGCGGAAATCACTCTACGTAGTATATTTGCCAGAGTAAGCAGCTACAAGGAGTTAAGCATTTTTTTTACAATATTATTTTGATTTTGCAAACTATAGCATTTTTACTATTATTTGCAAAAGTAGTTAACTATGAAGACTGATTTCCGCTAATATATTTTTACATTAATGGCAAAATTAAAAAAAAAAACCCAAAAACTTACTACATTTTCTATATAACACTTTGTCCAATTCACCAACGAATTGTAGTGAATTGTACAAATTTAATTTAAAAAAATAAAAAAAATTAAAAAAAATAAAACAAATTCAAAAACATACTTTTTTCTAAAATTAAAATACATAAATATAAAAACTATCTGTAATAATAATAATAGTAATAAAATAAAAACAAATAAAACTGAAAAACTATTTTTTGAAAACAAAAGATTAATTAAGATTTTATTCTATCTACAACATAAAAATTTTGTGTATGCAATGAATGTGGTCTGAAAAACAAACAAACAAAAAACATAATTATGAGTGAATGTTTTTAAAAAATTGAGCAACAATAAATATTAATATAAACATGATAAACACAAAACAGCACAGTTGTAATCTTTTATTTTTCATTTTAATTAACTAAACCTAATTCTAACATTTCTAATATTTTAAAATCTTTAAAAAACCGTTACATATTATTGAATTAAATTTTTTTATTTTTTGAAATATTTGGCAAGTTTTTGTTTCTTTTTAATATTAATGATTAATTTTAATTATGATTTGGCATTATTAACTGAAAAAGCAAATAGAATATGAATTAAATTTTAATGCAAAACATCAAAAACAATATGTAAAGAATTTCATAAAAATGGTTAAAAACAAACAAGAAATATTTTTGAAAAATAATTAAAATAAAATGTTTTACAAAATTCAAAATTGTGAGTGTTTTATTTCAACAACTTAAAAGGGCAAACAAAAGCAAGTATTACGACCGGTTTAGAAACCGTGGTTTAGAAACTCCTTTTACGGAAATAATTCGGTATCTCAGGAACTACCTGATTCTGTTCCAATTTTTTCTAGTAAAGTTCTAGTTATATTCTAGTTTTCTTCTAGTCCTGTTCTGTTATAGTTAGTTCTGTTTCAGTTCTCTTTTTATTCTATTCTAGTTCAGTTGTAGTTCAATTTTAGTTTAAATTTAGTCCTGTTCTAGTTCAGTTCTGTGTTAGTTCTGTTCTAGTTTTGTTCTAGTTCTGTTCATGTTTTGTTCTAATTCTGTACTAGTTCTTTTCTAGTTCTGCTCTAGTTCTATTCTAGTTCAGTTCTAGTTCATTCCAGTTCAGTTCTAGTTCAGTTCTAGTTCAGTTCTTGTTCAGTTCTAGTTCAGTTCTAGTTCAGTTCTTGTTCTTGTTCAGTTCTAGTTCAGTTCTAGTTCAGTTCTAGTTCAGTTCTAGTTCAGTTCTAGTTCAGTTCTAGTTCAGTTCTAGTTCAGTTCTAGTTCAGTTCTAGTTCAGTTCTAGTTCAGTTCTAGTTCAGTTCTAGTTCAGTTCTAGTTCAGTTCTAGTTCAGTTCTAGTTCAGTTCTAGTTCAGTTCTAGTTCAGTTCTAGTTCAGTTCTAGTTCAGTTCTAGTTCAGTTCTAGTTCAGTTCTAGCTCAGTTCAAGTTCAGCTCTAGTTCTGTTCTGTGTTAGTTCTGCTCTGTTTAGATCTCATTTTTAAAGTTTTTTACTTTTATTTTAAATTTCTTACCAAAATGTTTATTTTTAAAAAAATGCTTTTGCGTGAAAAGTTGACTTGATAAACATTTTTTGTTATCGCACTTGGATTCAGGACCACTTAATCTTCCCCAATCTGCCAATAAATTTTAAAGGAGTGCAAAAAAACTGTTTGTGCAGATCAGTGTAATATAAAAATACTTTTATTAAATGGACTTATGACCATTTCGCGGTAACAAGTTTAATCAGAATTATTATTAAAGATAATTTTATTTCTCATAAGTATGAAAATAATCATTAAATCATGATAACCGCGAAAGATATATTTGAAATCATTTCCGATGCTTCATTTCAAGTATAAATTAATGAATTAAATACTAACATCTCTTAATATCCGAATAGAAGTCCGTCTGTAAAGTCCGCAAATGGTAAACTAATTAGCAATGACTTGCAATATACAAAACGAATTACAAACGATACAACCAAACTTCAATATAAATCACATCAATGAGCATTTAACACCGCATTACGAACTGAACGATCGATTTAGATGTGAAAAGGAACGTTTGAAGACATTTGAAAATTGGCCTCTCCAATGGCTGGATAAACATAAATTGGCTGCAAGTGGAATGTTTTTTACAGGCAAAGAGGATCTAACTAAATGTTACTTTTGTGAGGTTATCATTGGCAAATGGGAGTTGCAGGATGATCCGGTGCTGGAGCATTTACGTTGGTCACCAAACTGTCCACTGTTAATACGCTGCACAACCAATAATGTACCCATAAATGAAATTATTCTAGACCAATTGTTACCTGCAAAAAAAATCGCTTCCTACGATATGCCACCCATTGGAGCAGGGCGCAAAACTCAAGTGGCAGATTACTCTATAAAAGCGGTACGTTTAGCATCTTTTGCTGAATGGCCGCGTAGTATAAAACAAAGGCCTGAGGAACTAGCCGAAGCTGGTTTCTATTATAAGGGTGTTGGTGATAGTGTTGTATGTTTCGAATGTCTGAGTGGCCTCAAAGACTGGGATGTAGACGATGATCCTTGGGAACAACATGCCCTATGGATGGGACACTATTGTCCCTATGTAAAACTTATGAAAGGCGAAGAGTTTATTAAAAGTGTGAAAGTGAAATTTGAAAATTCTACAATCAACATATCGGAACCCAAAATGAATAACCAATTGCCAGAAGTTACATCCACCGAATTGACTGACGATAAATTATGTAAAATATGTTTTGATAAAGAATGCAATGCCGTCTATGTGCCTTGTGGTCATGTTGTGGCCTGTGCTCAGTGTGCCTTCGCATCGAAAGAATGCCCCCTGTGTCGGGCGGCCATTCAAAATGTTGTACGTTTGTATTTCTCCTAAAAGAATTAAATGAGATTGTGAAAAAACCTACATTAAATGAAGATTCGAATATTTTATTATAGTTATTATTTTTTAATAAAAAAAATTATAAATTATATAAAATTTGACTGTTTTGTTATATACACAGGCCAACAAAATTTGAAAAAAATCAAAACCCAGAGACCAAAGTATATATTTTTAAAGATATTGAGTATAACTGAATCCGAATGTGGTCTCGGTGTATAGGTTAATATATCACGAAAAAGGATGAAGATATAAGAAATGTTAAATTATAAAGATCGGGATCTAAATCTTCAATAGTTTGTTTAGATTTTATTTCCAAAAGTTTTCTATCAGCAAAATCGATTTAAAAATAACGAAGAGCAAAATTCCGAAACAAAAAATTTTTCCAGAATTTTGAAAATCTTTCTGATCATATCGCTCATTTACTACAGGACTGGCATCATTCAAAATTCCATTTTTTTTCGTAATGGATTATTTTCAGTGTTAATAAAAATATTGTATTAATTCAGATTAGAAACATATTATCTGGTTTTATGATCGGAATCCTATAATTTCTTTCAAAGTTGTCCTAGAAATTGTAAAAAGTTATGAAACATTTAAAACAGTTATTCTCGAAAAGTCTTTTTGATGTAAGTCTTGTCTATATAAATGTCGGATAGGTATTCATGGATTGGTAATATGTAGGTACTATATAAACAGAATGATACTCGAAAGACCTTTCATTTAATGTATAATCTTTCATTGCACATTTTTCGTAAAAATTAATCAGATAAGGATCGTTTATAAAATTGTTTTTGAATACTTTATGTTACTTGTTTTTCGAGAAATTTTGAATATATTTCAAAAACCTTTAAACGGTTTCTTAAATTTGATTTCAAATTATAAATTATAGTGGACTTAGTTATTCTAACATATTATAAGTTAATACACATTCTAATCATACAATAATTGAAATAAATTTGATTTATTAATAAAACATTATTATTAAAAACCACAAGTGATATTCAGAAAAGGAAAATATATATATTTTTTACTGCTGCTGACAAGATACCAAGTAAATGGGTATTTCAAGACATGAGTGTGTTATAGGGTGATCGATTATTCGACATTTTCAAAAAACCGGTTTTCGAATAGTTCGAATAGTTGACATTTCAAAAAAACCGGTTGATATTTTTCAAATTCAGAAAAAACCGGTTAACCGGTTTTTCATAATAAATAAAAAAATATATGTTAATTTGAAGAAATTAATGTTTATGTTTAAATTTGATTAATAAAACATGGCCCGAAATGATTTTTAACAGTTTAACAGATTATAACTTTAGATCTAGTCGTCTGATTTACATTATTTCTTTAATATAAAAAAAAAAAATTAGGAAAAAAGTGGACACTTCTGCTAAACATAAGGTACTATGTAATCCTAGCTTATTCTAAAGCCCTTTTAGGAAATTTTCATAGGCATTCCAACACTTCCATAATATTTCAGCGGTAAATTAATTATTGTAGTTGGAATATAATCTTAAGATTAATAAAATTTTATTAAACAGTTATCAATTTTACAAATAAAATTTTTTAATTAATTAGGAAAATCAAAAAAGTTTAACCAATGGTGCTTTAGAAAAATATATCCTAGTTCCTGGACTCGAATATTTTTAAAATTTAAACGGGCTGTATTATTTACTTCAAAATTTCATTTAAATAATCTTTGAATACAAAGCAAATAAAAGTATTCGAAACCGGTTTTTAAAAAGTGAAAAAACCGGGTTATTCGATATTCGAAAAATCAACATTTAGAAAAAACCGACACTGGTAAAGCAGAAAAAACCGGTTTTAAAACCGGTTGAAAAATCGAGTCGATCACCCTAGTGTGTTACAATTGCTTCTCATTTAAACACCCGTATTCAGAAACATTTTTAAATATACACAGTTTTCCATTCGTGTTTTTTCAGGAATACAAATTTATATATATTTTTTTAAATTTTAACTTTAAAGTTTATAACTAAGTTTTAATTTCAATTTTTAAGCCGAAGAATTTGATATCTTGTCAGCCCACAATAAGTAATCATATTCGATAATGTGTTTTCTTTATTAGGCGTTTTTTGTGAAGTAGGTTTTTTACACCCTACATTGCGAAAAGAGTATATACTAATTAATAGTTCGATTGTTTTTATGTACACCGTTTATGCTCTAACATTATATTCTATACCCTACAACAAATTTGTAACGCACAAA